AAGAAAATTTATCTACCAGTCCTTTACCACCTTAAACTAACAGAGCGAGTACATCTCATATATCATCTACTTGAGTTCGCTCAATGCAGATATTCTTTGTGAAGTTGAAGGAGAGAAGAAAAATAAATATGGAATATTTGGGCATATGAAGTCAACTTGTCCTCTAGAGAGAGTGTGTGAGAACATTTTGTGCCAACAGTTGGTGTCTGTTGCTCTGTGGATCCTCAAGAGAACCCTTTGGTATTGTCTTGCTATATACGAAAAAAATCATAATGCTCATATTTTACTTGCATCACAATTGATTGGGCTGTCTTTACGATGTTTTTTGCCATTTATACACTGTGATGGCTGATACTAGACTTTGGGATTTGGAATAATCTTACTTAATAGAGAGAAGATAGACTATCGACTGCTCGACGTTTAGGCAACACTGAGATGGGAGCTACCCCTCCTGAAGGGGATGGAACGACTTGATTTCCCAACTTAATTTATTTGCATCTTGCATCTCAATTCTGCGTCATCTTGCACGCTAAACTTTTGACACTCAGGTTATGCATAAATTAAGTTAAAAAATCTGACTTAGTTTTACAAAATGACAGTTTGCTGCTCAACCATTAGTCCTTCAGGCTTCTGGCGACCAAAGGTGTGTCATCAATCCACAAAGTCAACATTTGTCATAAGAACTCCAGTCAGCTTATGTGGCGTAAGAAGAGGTAAGACTCAGAGTTGAATGCTCCTACAATGAACTGCATAGAAGGCCCACGGATAACATTGGCTTTCGCAGTGTCTTGCCTTCTGGCTGAGTTTTATTTTCGATTTCGTCGGGGTCTCGGTCGAATACCCGACAGGAATTAGTACTGGGTCGTATGCTTAAGGTGGCGACAGGATATCACTCGGCAACAAAACCATAAGCACTAGTGAGCTACAGGAGAGAAGTGACTTGAAAGGCAAGCCCACTTTCTCCCAATTCACAAATGTTTGGGGATAGCCTACAGCATACATTTTAATTTGCGATCACACTACTGTATTCTTAGCGAGTAGTCGGCCAAATTCAGATATATAATAATAATTTAGTAATCTCAGGTTGCACAAACCGATGAAAGACGGATGGTTGAATTTTCCTACATTGCGAATGAAATTCATTCAGCCTTGCCTTCTGAAATGCTTTCTCATTCCGGTCGAATTGTAGTTCCAGCCTCGCCTTACCATCTCGACAGCCTTCTCCACGGGATCCGAAACCGGATCGTGTGTCTAAACTAGCAACAAATTATGACATGAAATTCACTCACTAAGTCTCATTTTTCGTTCATCAACTTTAACCTGATCCAAAAACCCTTTAGATTTATTAATCATGATGTCGAGTAGTACTGATCAAGTGGAATAGCTGTTTAAAAGGAACTTTTTAAACTTTCTAAACGTCATTTTGTGTTTCCTTTTGGACTATAATCCAATTTCACCCGCTTTAAACTATTCGTCAAATTTAACTATTCTAGTTGGACTAACTCCAAATGACGAAGCGATAGCACAGGTTGTGTCATTAATTCTTTCTTTTACACCCCTCCATTTTTCTCGCAAGTTGTATAGCTTAAGCTAATTCATTTTAGCGAATTTCTGTTCGTGAAATCAGGCTCTCTATCACAATGAGGAACGGGACTGTCCCGCTCTTGAAGAAGGAAATGTAATCAAGAAATAAACATTCCTATTGGTCTATTGACAGTTTGACCTGAAGAGATCGTTTCCATCGCTTCCGTTTGCATTCTGGAACGCTCCAGCAGATTTGATAGCCTCAACTTAGGAAAATGGTAATAAACCTAGAGCTCCTGTAAGTACACAGTTATGACCGCCTGTGTCGAAATGTGGATGTGTATCTCGATGACAAGCAGGTTGAATTGACAAGCACTACAGATACAATACTTGTTGTCTCGTTACCCGGTCACGGATACAGCATACGTAAATGACTTCTGTAATGATAGTCTAAATTATTAGCAGTATTTGCTGCTCGCTTTATGCACATGTATTTGTCAGAATGATCTTAATTAACGACCAAATTGCAAGAATCTGTCATTCTGGCAATATTGGTGCCTGGGCTGACCAGTTAGTCCCCTATGCAGCTCGCAAAATCCCCAGGTCATCTTCTGCTGAAGCTGTTTGGACCCAGAAAAATTATGTCTATCAGTTCGCGTAGCGGGATTCATTTACCCAAAATGACGGGTAACCTCGGATAGAAGCTTCACCACCAACCGACCCACCAACTAGCCATTTCCACATCATTCAGCGTCCAACAAGCCTAAATGAACGTAGCCTGATGTTGGGTATCACAACGGAGGTGGGCTTCTGGGCCTACCCGCACGACTGGTGGAGAAAAGCAAATTGAAGGACGCCCCATGGTGAAGAGAACTGAGTGTGGTCTCAAGTGACCGAAACAAGTCACAGTTCGCTCAACTATTTATGAAAAGATTCTTTTTTCTCTCACCATCGCATTGTGCCTAAAGAATGCACATGAATGGAATGCGTGATTGTGCGTCCACAAGGCGAGAGAAGTACCTGTCTGTTTGTTCGTCAATGCCTACAGTCTGCCGGCCAGTCTACACAGCACAATTGAGCAAGTCCCCATCTTTTCTACCGTGAATTTTGCTCACCCTCACTTTATGCCTTAGTCTCCTTCCGACTGTACCTCAGTTCCTAGAGCTCCAGTCTGTTCCAGACACATCCATACAACCATGCACAACCATTCATACATACGAACATACAATGGCCCGCACACAGGCCCAAGTCAGATGTTACCGGGCCAAGTTCGACGGACAAAGGAGGCATAAACTTCGACCGCCACCAGACATATAATGTTGAAATCGCCAAGTTTCTCTCTGGCCCCGACGTATAAGATATAATCCACAAGGAAAAAACAGGCCATAAGTACACATGTGTGTAGTAGGCCTTGGATGTGCATGTGCCTGTGTATGTGTGTACGTGTGTACGTGTGTGTGCGGGCACGCATAGTGAGCGACAGTACCATTCTGCATACATCTGCTTCTAATGTGGCCTGCAGGCTTCACAAAAAGCCCGCACAACTTGGCTAAGTCATGGTGGGAGCGCAGACTGCTGTGACGGATGGCGAAGGCGCCCTAAATCCACTTGGCTCCTTTTCCCACCTCTCCCATACCAACACGAGCACACACACTTTCTCAACCAATACGCATAACTATCTGGCAAGGTCTGACTTCTGTATCGCTTTGGCTAACCCTCGACTGGACGCAAACTCATCACCAGTCGAGTCCTGCTGGCCTGAGCCACCCACCTGTTCTAAACTCGTCCGAAGTTGGACGAACCAGTCACCTTAGCCAGTCACCTTGGCCACTCACTCGGCAGGCGTCTCCATTAGTTGAGTGTGCGACCTCCGGAGTCGCGAGAGCAGAAGATGTCGGCCCGGCAACCGAGAAAAAGTACCTCCCTTCTCTTGGCTCCCCACTCGACCCGTTCATTCATCGGTCCTTGGAAGCCACAACCGAATTTTGGGTGAATAGAAATTTTTCATCAAAAATTACACATCTTTGCTGTTGGACGTCAAAAATTCTGTGCTTGCTGTAGGGCAGCATCACGTTTCATGGCTTAAGTTGTGCGATATTATCTTCATGCTGTGGGGAAGTTGGGGCTCCATATTTGGGAATAGATGAGAGTGCATCAGTGACATAATAAATATATGCGAATCTCTAGGTTTGTAATTGGATTTACTTCGTTTTCTAGTGAAAGTGCGCGTTGGAGGGATTCGGAGGTCGGACCCATCAGAAGACGCAAACAGATTCTTTTTGGCCAGTGAGGCTCCAAAGAATACCGACAAATTCGAAGTAGTACCTCGACTGGATAAAAACAGCAAAAGTGATGGCAAACTAAAAGAATGAAATGGCTTGACCTCGTTTTCGTATTGTCATCGCGACTTAGTTGAACGCACCTTGTCCGAATTCCTCTGTTGCAGTAATTCTGATAATTCCCAGTTTTGAACCCTGGAATCGGTTCATTTACAGACATCGCCTTTGAGTCTTACCATTCTTAGCACCAAGTTACAACTCATCTCTTTGACGAGCTGACGTTATCGGCGAAACGTCTAGTAAGGTACCAAGTCCACGCTCCAACACTGGGAATTATCAGAACTAATGCAGTAGAAGACATCGGATAAGGTGCTTCCAACCAGGTTGTCCTGACAACAAGAGCAAGTTGCGAAAACGAGTTTAGTTCACTTTTATGCAACAAAAGGAGACAGCCACCATAACAGAGGACACACAATATATTGGTCTTCATATCTATGTTTGAATCAAGAAAAGCATTCTTGGAAATGTGGCAAATGCAGAAAAAAGGCCA